TAAACACCGCTCAAATTCTACCAAAGCATTCATGCAGAGGAACAAGTACAACGTTCTGGAATGGCCATCTCAGTCCCCAGACCTGAATATCATTGAAAATCTGTGGTCTGTTTTAAAGCGGGCTGTCCATGCTCGGAAACCATCAAACCTGACTGAACTGGAGATGTTTTGTAAAGAAGAATGGTCAAAAATACCTTCAACCAGAATCCAGACCCACATTGGAAGCTATTTAGAGGCTATTATTTCTGCAAAAGGAGGATCTACTAAATATTGATGTAATTTTTCTGTTGGGGTGCCCAAATTTATGCACCTGCCTACTTTTGTTTAAGTAATTATTGCACACTTTCTGTAAATCCTATAAACTTAATTTCACTTCTTAAATATCACTGTGTTTGTTTGCTATATGATATACAGTATTTAATTGAAATTGCTGTTCCAAACAACCAATGATCCATAAAGGCAAATCTTGAAAATGATGAGGGGTGCCCAAACTTTTTCATACCACAAGCAATGCATAGCTTCTAGTGGAATAGGGATCCTGAGGAAGAAACTCTTGACGATTCACCGAGTGGAGCGGCATCGCAGACGAGCAAAGGAGAGGTCCAAGAAGCGAGCATCCTTCATCGTCAACCCGTTCACTTTTACCAGGGAGCTGTGGTCACCTCGAGTGCTCAGTAGAGGAAGTTTACACCTGTCTTCACAACACCTTGGGCAACCCTGAACGAGACCAGGAACTAGGCCACAATAATGCCCTCATAAGCCCAGCTCCACTAACAACGGTGTTTGACGTCAAGGAACCAAGTTGGAGAGAGGTCCAGGAAGTCATCAAGATCAGCCTCTGCCCCTGGACCAAGCGGAGTTCCATACAGTGTTTACAAACACTGTCCGGGACAGCATCTGTGGAAGCTCTTGAGAGTTGTCTGGTGGCGAGGAAGAGTCGCCAACCAGTTGACATATGCTGAGGGAGTGTGGGTTGCCAAGGAGGAGAACTCCACAGACCTCGACCAGTTCAGGAGCATCTCGTTGCTTAGCACGGAGGGAAAGATTTACTTCTGCATTCTGTCGCTGCGGCTGTCAATATTCTGCTTAAGGAACAATTCCATCGACACCTGGATGCTTGGAGCACACAGGTGTAGTCACACAGCTCCTGAGTGAAGCAAAGGAAGGTAAGGGGGACCTGGTAGTTCTTTGGCTGGACCTCAGCAATGCTTATGGGTCCACACCACACAAACTGGTTGAGGAGACTCTTCGCAGACATCGTGTCCACAATAAGATCAACAAGCTCATCTTGGATTACAACAACAACTTCCAGATGAGAGTGTCCTCCGGGTCCATTACATCCAAATGGCACAGGCTCAAGAAAGGAATCATTACTGGTTGTACCATTTCAGTAACCCTTTTCGCTCTTGCCATGAACATGGTGGTGAAATCCGCGGAGGTGGAGTGTCGCAGGCCTCTAACCAAGTAACCTGGAGTGTGGCAGCCACCGATCAGAGCCTTCATGGATGACTGTGACAACATCATTAGTCCCTGGTAGCAGGTGGATCTTACAAGGGCTAGAGAGGCACATCTCATGAGCTAGGATGAGGTTCAAACCAGGTAAGTTTAGGTCCTTGGTCTTAAAGAAGGGAAAAGTTGTGGACAAATTCCAGTTCAAGATCTCGGAGACCATCATTCCAACACTGTCTGAAAAAAGTTTGCGGAAACTCTTTGACTGCAGCTTGAAAGACACAGCTGCCATCCAGAGGACCTGTGTTGATCTAGGTCAGGAGTGTCAAACTCATTTTCACCGGGGGCCACATCAGCAATACAGTTCCTTAAGGGCCGGTTTTAAATAGAACACTGTATAGATCAGGGGTCCCCAACCCCCGGTTCGTGGACCAATACCAGTCCATAGGTCCTTTAATCCCAGCCCGCAGTGGGATACAGTGAAAAAATAAAAAAATTCTAATTTGCTTCATTAAATTTTTTTTTTCCATTTACTTTCTTTATTTGACGATAATCTGGCAATATTTTAAAATAAAAGTCATTCAGACTTTGATACAAACAGAATAGAGTCTGGCATAGATGTAGCTCCTTCATAACAGACTAATACATGTATCTGCAATTGATTATTATTTATTCAAGCCACAAATATTGTTCAATGCTAATTTCATAGGTTGATAAACTCTGCTGCATGACCTTTATATTCTTTTTAAGCTCCCGCGGGCCACACAAAATGGCTTGGTGGGCCGCATTTGGCCCCGGGGCCTTGAGTTTGACACGTATGATCTAGGTGTTTGGCTCACCAAGGTTGACAAATTTGGACTGGTCACTTAAAGGCATGAATCTACCAGCATACCATTCTTCCCAGGGTTTTATGGCCAATACTGCTGTACGATGTCCCGATGTCAACTGTGGAAGTTTTAGAGAAGAAGACCAGCAGTTATCTGTGAAGGTGGCTTGGCTTGCTGAGGAGCCTAAACAGTGCTGCCCTGTACAGGCCTACCAACAACCTCCAATTCCCCTTTAGTGTGACCACACTGTGCCCCGACCTCATAATGTACTCAGACATCACTAAGCAGGTAAGTATGTGGGAGTTGACCGTACCGTGGGAGGAGCATATGGAGGAGGTGCATGAGAGGAAGATAGCAAAGTACCAGGACCTGGTTGAGGAGTGCAGAAGCCGGGGCTAGCACGCTTACTGCAAACCAATTGAGGTGGGCTACATGGGGTTTGCTGGCCGTTCTATCTGTAAAGCTCTGGCAGGGCTTGGAGTTACCAGAGCCATCAAGAGGAGAGCAGTCCGTTCCATCACTAAAGCCGCAGAAAAAGCCACTTGATGGCTTTGGATCAAGACTGCAAGCCCGTGGACTACAGCGGCTGGGATGAAAACCAGGACTTGATCAACCCCGGTTGGGTCACCTGCCTGTGAGGGGGTATGATGATGAAAGACCCGAAACTCGCGATGACCCAAGGAACATCACTGATGATGCATCCCAGCGCATCCTAGAGATGTATGTTAATTCCATAACTTGCTTTTTCTTTTTCAAAATGTATTTTAATGCATCTATAGACAAAGTCATTCCATGAATGTGTAAATTAACTTGGTAATAAATACAAAATATGATTCTTTAATTTTCTCTACTCTCAAGGTTCTTTATTCTTTTAATATCCTCAGGAAAATCACTGTCTACATTTAACCCACCCATTAAACACTGGAGATTAACAATGGACAACACTCTAACGGAGGTTGACCTTTGTTAGTCAACCCTCGCCCACAGAGTAAGGGTCATTTCTCAACATACACCATTCCTGCCAGTGCTGGGATTCAAACCAGCAATCCTTCAATTACAAATCTGCATTAAAAAATGAACTGAATAGGACTATATCACTCTGCCTTCCATGTTTCCATACCTTGAGTAAGCAGTGTTCAGGGCATGAAGGAAATCCTCACTGAGAACAGCTTGGACACAAGTCTCTGCTCGCTGTAGCAGTGCACCAATAAGAGGAGCCGCGTCTCCACATGTGACCAGAGGGACACATGCCTCTGATGTGGCCAGAATCTTGTCACATGAACACCTGCACAAGACAGTTGTGTTTTATTTTAAAACAAAATTATTATGCTAATTATTAGTACTATTTAATTTAACGCTAAGGCTGTGTAGTAAACCTCAATAAAATCAAGGCACTGCAATTGCATAAATTAAAATTATTTCAAAGAATTACAAAATTATGAAAATAGTTATTCAGCACATTCCAACATTGCACAATATAAAATAAAAAAAATAAAATGTTAAACTTGACCCCACTTCTGTGTACATTAAACTAATAATAAAAAAAAAAGAATTACCAGCCTAATGGCCTGCTGAAAGACTGTAAAATTAAATATGTTCTCTCATAAAAAGTGCATTTAATTTACTTGCAGGATCATTTCATGTGCACGCTGCTTTATTAACACATCCAAGCAATGATCTTTATAATGTGGAAGTCACGGCGAAGTGCATATGATCCGAACAGATCTCAGTGAAACGTGTGCTGACTCTATGAGTGTACTTTTCATTGTTTTCACTCCACTCGTGTGAAGTGAATGTTGGCTTTATGCAGCCAAGACTCGCTCATATTTAGGATAGCGATCGGGATGTTTTGATTTTAGGTGATAAATAAAACCAGACATGTTGGCAATTTCAGACAAGCCCGCAGTGGTTGCGGTTTTTCTTGCGCCATCATAACTTCTTGTTTCTGCCGTTTTGTTTTGGTGATAAAAGTCTTTTGCCTAAAAACCAAAGATTTTCAGTGGCCGAATATTCGGTGTATCCCTGGTTAATGTCATAATTTGTTGTGTAGGAAAAAAAGCAATAATTAATAAAATATCAACTATTAAGCATATTAATGAGAAACAAATTGTGTATTTTTTTTTAAAATATAAATCTAGAATGTCTGAATATCCACCAAAATCGTATAAATGCATCATAACCCTTATTTTACTGGGCTGGTAGTTACCACCCAGTCAAACACACAGAAAGAAAAAAAAGAAATGGCTCGATATGGGGAAAAAAATGCATTACCTAGAATTTATGCCACCCAGAGAACTGCAGCTCTTTACAATTTCTTCTTGCAGCAGTGACACTGACTGAAATAGTGGAAAATATCCCTATAAACAACTGTAAACATTTTACAGTATATGGGTTAAACAGACATTTAGACTAACAGCAATAAAATTATACCTTTCCCAGAACTTTGAGATAGTACTCATGGAGTGGTAGAAACAGACCCTTCATTACTGCCTGTGGGCCATCACCTTCTTCCGTAGCAAAGTGACACAACACATTCTGTAAGGGAGCAAACAGAACATTTTTTTCAGAAGGTTTTTAGCGAATCATGTATCTACTAAGGGGCCATTTTAATATTATCTGTACACATGAAAGCATATTAGTTGAATGAGTGAATACTGGCGCGACTTGCCGCTGCTTGCCCGTAACTTTTAGCTTTCAGCTTCACTTTAAGTATTTAGTTTAGGGGTTGTTTTTTTAGCAGTTTATTGATCACTGATCATTTTCTGTCACAGCGTTGACAGCCGAGTTGTCACCACAGTGTTAACTGGTATGATGCACATCGGGTCTGTGCTTCTCTGGACTTCACTGTCATTTCCTTCACCAACCAGCGATGGGCCTGCTCCAATACTCCGCTGCTAGGCTTCTCCGGCTTCGTCCCCGCCCGTCTGCACCCCCACCGGCTGCATCACCTCTCCTCCTGGACATTGCTTTCCTGCCCCCCCGAGATGTATCCGTAGTGTGGTCTATCTGGTGTGACAACACCACCGTCAACACCGTCTGCTCAACATCCGCTCACTCACGAGCAAAGAACATCTCGTTCAGGATCTCCTCACCGATCACCTTCCTCCTCCATTCATCTGACTGTCCCCTCCGCCCGTCTCACCACCACGGGGTACAGAGCTTTCAGTTGCTCTGCTCCCCAGCTTTGAAACTCTCTACCACTGTCTTGAAGAACATCAATTTACTCCCACAATTCAAGTCTGCACTTAAAGCTAATCTGTTTAAAATTGCCTTTATTGTCTGATATTCCACTGTATTTTAACTTGATCTTAATGTTTTATTGTTTTTTAATGCTGTGTTGTTATCTTTGTATTCACTGTAAGGTGTCCTTGGGTGACAGAGAGGTGCCTATGAAAATAATGTACTATTATTATTATTATATCATGTGAAGGCATTTGGTTTAAAGGGAATGTATGTACAGCATATAAGCGACAAATAAAATCTCTCCGTTTACAGAAAGTCGTAGTGTTTTATTAGCATTTTTCAGAAGGGGCTTCATTGTTTACTCATTAAAGCAGATTTTAAGGGCAAGTCCAAAAGAAAAGAGAGTGAATACAAGTACCACACATTTTCTAATACTGTTACAGTGGCTTTCATTAAAAAAATAAGTTTTTTTTAACGGCAAAATCATTTAGACACAGTTACTTTCTATCTTAGCGTTCCTATAAATATAAAAACATCCTGTGTTACCTTTCCCTCATATTAAAAACAATGCCACATTGTACTCATTGGTCTAATAAACACTGTTTGACAACATTTTTTTCCCTGGTGTTGTTTGCACACACAGGCCAAAGGACAACAAGCTTAAATTTGTGATTTATTTGAATTTAAGAAACAGTCGTCCCTCCTCAACCACAACAAGGTGACTTACTGATACAAGCTAAAAAGTGTGATCCAACATGAAAAGGCCTCACTTCTTCTGCACACATCTGTTTTTTAAACTCAGATGAACCAAAAGAAGAGAATTATCCACAACACTTGGAACACAAGAAAGAAAAAATCCTTTTAAAACTTCAGATAAAAGAGAGTCAACAATCGAGATGAGGAGAAAAGGAGATTAAGGGAGGCAGAAAGTGTGGAAAACAAGGACAAAAAAAACAAACAGAATGTGGGATTTGGAAAAAATAAAATAGCAGACAGATGAGTGCTGCAGTGCTACTGGTGGAGCTGTGTGGTTTCTTTGGCCAGGCCCTACAGCACGCTAAGATGCTTACCCTCCACGTAGTCTCACAAAACAAACCCAATCACTACCATGTGAGCACCCTCAAACTCTGCACACTGAGTACATACAAAACCAACTCATCAGACTTTATCCCACCCTTGTAAGGAGGCACACGGGGCTAGGGAAGAGAAGAGATAGAAGAAAGGTTGGTTAGAAGGAATGGAGAGGGACTGGAACCCAGTTATGGCTGCATTCGGAGCAGAGAAAAATAGGGTGTGGTCACCCGTGGAATGAGATTAAGGATAAACAGATAGATGGATGGCTGGCAAATACCTAAGATCAAAGTCCTTTTTTTCCTAGAAAAGAGCAACACAGAAAGCCTACAAGGGCTTGAGGAGCTGCAGCCAAGGAAATTATCCTTCTATAAATCTAAAATTAAAACATGGGGATGTTAAAAAGTGTCCAAAGACTTTGGTTGGTTTCGTGGGTGCCTGTTAACAATTACTAGGCCATGATGAATTCTCTCAAAACCAATAAAAGATGGTATAACTATCAAAAATCAAAAGTATGGCCTCAAATGGTCAAAACAGCAGAGGGAAGTTAAATTGAGAGAAAAACAGGCTGGCAGTGATCAGCTTTCCTGCAGGAATAATAAAACTTGAAGACACTGTTCAAACTCTGTGCATTGACTGTGCAGTTTTTTGACAAAATGTCTTCAAAGCCTTAACAGTGCAGTATGACCCCACGAACCACAGTGGTTTATATTTACATATATGAAGATATAAAACAACAGAGCCGCTTATCAATCTGTGTGTTTATTAGAAAATATGATGGAAAAGGATGGTTTTCTCGTAATACCAAAAAGAAAATGTAAAGCTGTCGTATGTATTCTTTTTCACAAAGATGAAACCACAGACCACTGGCTATTTTAATCCGGCTCATGCAGATGATGCTTAATTTTGTTTGAGGGCAGTTATACAGTTAATAAACATATGGTTTTAAAGAGAAAAGTAAGGTTTGTCCATCTATCATATTTTATAATTGTCAGGGGATGAAAGTCAAAACAAAAAACACAAAAGTAAAACGGCATAATATTTGATGAAGGCAAAGATTTAAAAATACGTATACCTAAAACCACAGTAAAAAGACATTTCATGTCCAGAGCCTAACACTGATGCAATGTGTTTGCTTTTCCAGAGACCCATGGGCAATGATCATCTGGCAAGTGCCCATCCGCCAACACACTAACGTTACACTCATATTTTCCACTCATCTGTCATCTCTTCAGAGATCATCCATTTCACTGCTGCTGTACAGTGTGGTCCCTCTTTCTAGTACAAGAAATAGAGGAACAGACTCATTGAGCTAATGACTATATGACATGTCGTAGCCTGCAGTTATGTATCTCTACGCACCATCATGACAAACAGTGATGATGTGTAATTGGGAGGTGACAAAAGTCAGTGCGTATTAAATTTAAGGTTAAAACAATATTTGTTAACAAGTGGTTTGTAGATGGAAGAATTATACATTTACTACATTTACATTATTGTAATATATGAGAGTTAATAAACATAACTCAGAAAACACAGTATTTAGTTGTCAGTTAGCATTTGTGAGAGGACAAAAAGAAAGCATTAATGAACAGAAATATATATATAAAAAATAAAGTTTTTTGCTCCGAGTGGCACCACGATACAAACCACCTCCGACCAAAAACCAATACACCTGCCCTTTTCACCCCACTGGTCTGAGCTGTGATGAAAGGATTAGTTTTAAGGTTTATTGTATTCGTCCTCTTTGGACTCTTTTGACTAGTGCTCTGCATTGTAAAAACCATGTGTGCTATTTGTTTTGGCAGTGGCCTGAATGAGAAAAAGTAAAGTTATAAGCAATGTTATTTTACAAGAATGGAAATTACAAACTACTTCTATCTGAAGTCTGAGACACAATGGTGAAACACCAGTGACTGACTTCAGTACATCTTTGCATCTTAATACCTCCTGGGGGGTATTTTAATTTAATGAATTAATTGTATATTTCTCAGGGGCTGGAACGAATTTGGTTTTTAGTTATTTTTAATGGGGAAAATGCAATCGAGATACGAGTGGCTCGCATATGAATGCTGATGAGGAATGGATTAAAATCTCGAAGCCCCCACTGTATATACAGTATACTATGTATGTGTATTCCCTCCTCTAGTTAACCAGGTTTCTGATGTTCCTTTATTAAAAAAAATATTTTCATTACCTGTATCCATTGGTTGGCTTTTCTTTCCACAGCATTGCTGGGATGCTCTGAGTAAAGTGCCCACAAACACTGGAAGAGAACCTCTCTGCTTGTATCTGTAGACACACAACATAGTACACACCATGATCTCAGCATCATTATCATCATTAGTTCCTCTTTTCATTGGATAGTAGTTCTAAAAACATTATTTCAGGCTGAGAGGTTAAAACGACTCTGGACCTGTTCCATACATTATACTGATTACACTGGGGAACAATTTGAAAAAAATAATTTGATTGAGTTAGATGTTTATGCTGATTAAAACTAAAATTGATGCTGATTCCAAAATTGCAGTTAGTTTTTCAGCACGTCAAGTTTTTTCTCCACAGCACTTGTTTGTCACAATTGGGACAGTTCGGTGAGAGGTGAGTGCAGCTTCCAATAGGTCAGTACTGTCTGACAGTATATCTGCAAACAGAAAGCTAGCATAGTAGGAATTAAGAGGATTTGTGCTGGCTTTTCTCTCAACCTCGTAACCATGGGCATACCATTAAAACTTCTATTTCATTTTATGCTGTTTTTTAGTTTTCAAAGCTTGTAACTATTCCATCTTAGTGTTTTATTTATATAGGTATATATTTCCTTTGTTCCAGATCATGTCTGCTCCTGCTACTTCTCGTCGTAAATGCCTAAACATCCCTGACTCCTTTTGCTATATTTGTGGTAGTTTTACCATTCCAAGTCAGAGGGCAAATATCAATGCATTTGTCAAACAAGCATATTTTGCATTTTTTAAAGTAAACTCGGTGATCAAGACAAGCTATGGGCCCCTCACAAAGTGTGCAAGCAGTGTGTCGAGAGTTTACGGATGTGGACAAAAGGAACGTGAAAAGTTAGCCTTTGGTATCCCATGGTTTCGCGAGAGCAAAAAGATCAATTGCACAGACTGTTACTTTTGTTTAGTGAAAACATCACGATTTAACAAGAAAAATAAAAGTAAAATATAATATCCTAATTTACCGTCAGCTATAAGACCAATGACTGATTCAGCTGAAATTTCAGTGCCAGTTTTCAAACAACTACCTCCTCTAGAAGATCTGAGTGATGTTGAAGAACGCAGTGACAGCAATGATGCAGATTTGGAAATTCACAAGAATTCAGTTCATACAGGATTTGAGCAGTACGAGTTGAATGATTTAGTACATGATGTGGGCCCAAAAGAATCTGCAGAAATCTTAGCATCAAGACTGAATGAGAAAAACTTTGAACAAGGAGTGAAGGTATCATATTATATATATATCATAACCAGAGAAAGTACATTTCTGCAGTACTTTCAAACTGACAGTGGCTTTGTGTTTTGCCATAACATTTTAAGTAAACGGGGATCCTATAGTGCAAAAACTTGACGTGATAGAGAAAAACTGAGATCAGTTTTGGATTCTGCACCCAAAAATGAGTTAAAAACAGCTGTCTGACCTACTCAACAAAAATTGTGTTCCCCTGTGTTTTGGTTGAGCTGCCCATAAACACTCACCATTGGCGGTAACGTGAAAGTTCCAGCAAAGTCGGCCAAGAAGCTGGCCCATGAAGGGCAGTTTTTCCATGGCTTCTGTTGTGGAACTCTACCGGAAAATAACAGTGATCAAAACAGACATTAGATAAAAGATTTCATAACAGACTTTTTTCGCCCTCATCTGCCTCTAACCCCCATTGTTGGTTGTGTGCATATTGTATTCAGACAAAAACATTGCCATTAAATAAAACCAGTGGTAATTTTGAGTAAGACACCCAATAAGATTTTAAATAATTGTAAGTCTTTACACCAGGGGTCATTAACTATATAACTATAAAATTTCAATGGAGAGCAGATACTCATATCAAATGAAAAACAAATCACATTTTTGTTGAACATTATTATGTATCATTATTATTATCAGTGGCAATTAGCAATTAGCAAGAGACCCCCAATAAAGAAGTGGTGGTGGATGAGGTGGTGGTGACCACAGATCACTTCTCAGATCCTGTGCTTTCTGGCTGATGTTTTGGTCACTTTTTAATGCTGGCGGTGCTTTCACTATAGTGGTAGCATAAGACGGAGTGTGATGATTAAGTGGTTATGTCAGTGGTTATGCCCCACAGGTGGGTTGGGAGTTAGAAGAAAAGGAGAAGTTCTGGAATGAGCTGGACTGGATGATAGAGGGTATCCCCACGGGAGAGAAAGTGGTGATTGGAGCAGACGGTCATGCAGGGGAAGGGAACAGAGGAGATGAGGAAGTGATGGGCAGGTTTGGCGTTAGGGATAGAAATTTGGAAGGACAGGCAGTGGTAGATTTTCCAAAGAGAATGGAAATGGCTGTGGTAAACATCTATTTTCAAAAGCAAGAAGAACACAGGGTGACGTACAAGAGTGGAGGCAAATCCACACAGATAGATTATATTCTATGTAGAAGAGGTAATCTGAGGGAGATTAATGACTGTAAGGTTGTGGTAGGTGAGAGTGTAGCCAAACAAAATTGGATGGTGGTGTGCAACATGACGATGGAGGTGAAAAAAAGGAAGAGAGTGAAGACAGAGCAGAAGCGGAAATTAAGTGGAAATTAAGGAAAGAGAAATGTTGTGAATACTTCAGGAAGGAAGTAGGGGCAGTTCTGGGTTGTGTTGAGGAATACCCAGATGATTGGGAGGCGACAGCTGCAGTGATTAGGGAGACGGGTAGAAAGGTGCTAGGTATGTCCTCTGGGCAGAGAAAGAGGACAAAGAGACCTAGTGGTGGAGCGATGAGGTCCAGGATAGTGTGCAGAGAAAGAGATTAGCGAAGAAGAGATGGGACAGTGACTGAACAGAAGAGAACAGACTGGAGTACAAAGAGAGAACAAGGGAGGTGGAGAGGGAAGTGGCCAAGGCCAAACAAAAGGCATAAGAGGAGTTGCATGAGAGTTTGGACACAAAGGAAGGAGAAAAGCAGTTGTATAGATTGGCGAGAGAGAAATCAAGCTGGGGAAGGATGTGCAGCAGGTGAGGTTGATTAGGGACAGAGAGGGGAATGTAATCACAAGTGAGGAAAGTGTGCTGAGAAGATGGAAGGAATACTCTGAGGAGTTGTTGAATGAGGAAAATGAAAGGGAAAGTAGAAATGAGGAACCAGAAACTATTAGGAAGATTAGAGGAGGAAGGAAGGAAGTAAGAAAAGCCCCGGAGAGGATGAAAAGTGGAAAGTCCAGAATTTTAGAGACTGACAAGATGAGTAAAGTGTTCTGGTGCCAAATCATAAGAAGGGTGATGTACAGAGTTGTAACAACTACAGAGGGATAAAGTTGATGAGCCATACGATGAAGATTTAGAAAAGAGTAGTTGAAGCTAGGTTGAGGGAGGAAGTGGAGATTTGTGAACAGTGAACACTATGGTTTCATACCTAGTAAGGGTACCACAGATGCAATATTTGCCTTGAGGATGCAGATGGAGAAGTACAGGGAAGGTGTGCCAAGGAATTGTCGTTTTGTATGAGGAAGTCAAGAGTGGCAGAGAAGTATGTTAGTTTGGTGCAGGACATGTATGTATAGTACAACAGTAGTGAGGTGTGCTGTTAGAAGGACAGAAGACTTTAAGGTGGAGGTGGGACTACATCAAGGATTGGCCCTGAGTCCCTTCTTGTTTGCTTTGGTGATGGACAGATTGACAGATGAGGTCAGACAGGA